TTATAAATAAATATTTTTAAGTTAGGCCCTCATTCATAATTATTTTCAAATTTGGGCCCCGATATGTAATTTCCCCTATATTTTAATTACACTATTATATAGATTTGAGTAATTTAGCACCCACCCCAATGAGATCTAATTTTAACAAGAAACCAATATTTAAAACCTATTATCAGCCTAACAACTATCTTTAAAATCTATTACTAATCAAGCAGTATCATATTTATACTAGAGATAGTAAAAAACATGTTTTTGATTTTCTTATATTTTAAAATATGTTTTAAAATTTTTTTTTTGTTTTTTATTAAATAATAAAAAGTTTATATTTTATAAATACAACTATATAAAAAATTTTTTTAAGTATATAATATAAAGAATACCAAAATATATTAGTTGTACTCAATACTACATATATTTTGCTATAAAATTTAGGATTAGGGTAGAGTTATAGACTAAGAAGAGATTAGATATAAAGGTTTAAAATTTGGTTGGTATAAGATTTTTGAGATTTTTGAACATTTTTACTTAATATCTGACTTTAGTTTGTTTAAGATATAATAATTGTGGTATTGAATACCACTGATACATTTAGTAAACTTGTATAAATTTTTTAGATATTAAAAATATTAGTAATATTAAGATAGAAACATTTAACTAATAATATAAAAATTTTTAAATAAATTTTTTAGTCTATTGCCTATGTTTGCTGTGAAGTATTCTATATATCACATGATTAAAATTCTATACTATGATTGGTTTATAAATATTGTTTTTTATTGTTTTTTATTAAAAATTTAAATGTTTTAAAACATTTAAAACATGCTTTAAAACAGGTTGTTTTAAAACATTTGCCATCCCTATTTTATACCCATCTTTCATAACTTCATGAATCATCTGAATTTGGTAACAAGAAGGAATACACTATCATTTCCACTATTATTTTTAATTGAATTTGCAATATGTAATCTTTTTCTATGTAATTTTCGGGCATAATTTTAAAATGAATTTTAATTGAAAATTTTTTAAAAAATAAAATTTTATGTATCACATGATTTTAATAATAAACTGCGGCAATAATATGGAATTTTTTCCGTCAGTGTATACATAGTACCTGCATGTTGTGCCATGAGGAAAGCTTACACAATCTTCAGACATCTATGGTTTTGGCATGATTATATGGGAGATAATAAGTGGCTGCATGCCCTTTTATGACCGTAAGCATGATGAACATTTTTATTTTGAATAATATTAATTGTCTTCGCCCAAAAATTCCAATTGACATTCCACAGGAATTAGTTGAAACAATAGAAAGTTTCTGGCATCAGATCCGGACAAAAGAGCTAAGCTCGATAGTTATTTTGGAATGCATAAGCCTCAAGAACTTATTCATAAAGCAAAAAGAGGAGAAATAAAATTTCTAGAAAATAAAGTCACAATTAGTTTACCAACTAAAATAAATGAACATGCAATTTATTCCAGTCGACTATTAACACCATTAATTAGTAAAGCGTTGACTTTACAAAGTATGAAACTAAATAGCAATGGAATTACAGGTGAGAAAATATATCGAGATGTAGAAATTTCGTACTGTATTTTGTTATTGAACGTACTGTACTGTATATAAATATAGGCGTACTATAATGTGTATC